ACTCCAGACACGCCGCTGGCACTAGAGGCACAGCATGGCCGCGTAGTGACGGCCCCGACCACTGCCGCTTGACCTGACCGGAGAAAACCGTAGCAGGAAGCTAGCGAAGTCGTAGTATATATCGTCAAATAGGACTGCCCGGTAAACCGTAGGCAGAGAGGGATATATATATATATATATATATCGTCAAACAGAGCTGCCCGGTAAACTGTACGCAGAGAGGGAGAAGAGGACAACAAACGAGCAGCTGTGACAATATATATACTGTCACACTGTGAATCAGATATATATATATATATATATATACAGAGAGAGAGAGAGAGAGAGGAACATGCATTAGTCTCCACAAAGGCATCATTGCATTTATGTACGTACCAGGAATCAAGCGCAGCTCTGAGGTGAGGAAGGACACCACAGAGGGAGAGAGAGAGAGACAGAGAGAGAGAGAGAGAGTTGGAAAGAACATGCATTAGTCTTCAGAAAGGCATACTATTGGATTTACGAACGTACCAGGAATGCAATTCTCTTGGCACAGAGTGATCGCCGTGATGTCCATGACGGAAAGCCCCCGAATGGCAACTTCCCTGTACGACACGCGGTGATGGAGTTTGGCCATCGGATTCTTCCGTGGATCGGAATCATATACGCCATCAACGTTCGTCGCCTTGAGCAGGACCTCAGCATTGACTTCTCCCATGCAGCAGCGCCAGCAAGATAATGATTATTGTTATGTTCACATTCCAGAGAACATAAAGAGAACCAGTCAGCAACACACAAAACAGCAGCAGACTAAACTTGGTAGGCTGTAAATCAAATGAGGCTTCACCCCCCGTCTCCCCCCCCCCCACCACACCCTCAACAATGTTGTGTATTACCAGACCCAGCCATCTCTCTCTCTCTCTCTCTCTCTCTCTCTCTCTCTCTCTCTCTCTCTCTCTCTCTCTCCACACACACACACAGACATCTCTCTCTCTACACACACACAGACATCTCTCTCTCTCTCTCTCTCTCTCTCTCTCTCTCTCTCTCTCTCTCTCTCTCTCTCTCTCTCTCTCTGTGGGGTGTGCGTGAACGTTTAAACCACCAGTCCCCCCGACGTCAAAAATTTGTGGGGGACAAAACACAGCTTCATGAGGGCTACCGGTAGCACCGTGTGGAGAACCCACAAAGTGCCAAAAATGGAAAATGCATCGAATGGCCGCCGCGATTTATTTCACGGTTGAAACAATTTTATTTTATTTTTAGAATATTCTTCCTAGAAAGATCACGACCAAATCTATGGGTCCTCCAATTTTCAGATTTTTTGACGAATTCTTCTGAGCACGGAAAATCGCTGAAGTTGGTACTTTTCCCGTTGGCCCACAGATGGTAGAGTGGCAAAAATAGAAAATGAGACGAGTAGGCATGGCATTTGTTTCACTGTCTAAAATGTTTTGTTTTGTTTTGTTTTTCGGGGGGGGGGAGGGAATAGCATCCGTACCCCACTTAAAGATGAAAATACCCACCATACCCAGTCCCAGCGCCCAACTTGTATCTACACCCAGTCCCTGTCAAACTTGAACCACCATTACCCCCACAGTCGGAAATTCGGCTTTCCTGGCCATACGGCCCACGTTTTACGGGTGGGCGGCGACCGGCAGCCGCAGGTGGGTCCAGTCCCACAATTTTCGAGCGCCAACTTCGGCGATTTTTCACACTCACAGGAAGTGATGAAAAAATCTGAAAATTTGAGATACTGTAGATTAGGTTGTGATCTTTCCAGGGAAAATATCAGAAAAACAATAAATAAAAAGCAATAGACAGCGAAATAAATGTCGGGCCTATCGTTGCAGTCTCCATTTTTGCCACTCTACCACGTGTGGGCCAACGGAAAAAAAAAACAACCCCACTTCTGCGATTTTTTACGCTCAGAAGAATGACTCGAAAGCTCTAAAAATTGGAGGGTCTGTAGATTTGGTCGAGATGTTTCCAGGAACAATATTAAAAAATTTAAAAACCATCATTTCAACCGCGAAATAAATCGCGGCGGCGATTCGATGCCCTTTCCATTTTTGCTACTCCGCCGGTTCTCCCCACTGTGCTACTGGTAGTCCTCATAAACCTGTGCTACCGGTCCCCCCGAATTTAGGACGGGATAGTGGGGGATTAAGGTAATACCCTACTTTTCCCGTGCGCCAACTTATACGTGTACCCAGTCACACAGGCCCTTGATTGGGAGCACAAAATTATGGTTATGCCTAGGGACAGGGTAGTACGCAGTACAATTTGCCTGGGTATGTGCATAATTTCAGCATTCTGGTAGTTGGGTATACCTGCAATTTGGCAGCACCAACCTTGACCCACCTCGGTCCTGGGCATGCAAATAATTTGCACTGACCGTTTCCTGGGTACAGGTGCAAGTTGGGCACCAGGACTGGGTATAGCAGGTATTCCCATCTTTTAATCGGGCACAGATGCGATTTTCGGTATCATTTTCCCAGTTTTTTATATTTTTTTTTCCTGGAAAGATCACAAGAAAATCTACAGACTCTCCAATTTCGAGAGTTTTTGAGGCATTCTTCTGAGCACCAAAAATTGTGGACGTTGGAATACTTTTTTCATTGGCCCACACATGATAGAGTGGCAAAAATGGAAAACGCGAATTGGCACGGCCTTCATTTCACAGTCTAATTTTTTTAATTTTTTTCTCTGATATTTTTCCTGGAAAGATCATGACCTAGTCTACAGCTGCGTAGCACGGCGAACGTGTTCGCGCCCCTTCGCACGAACGCGTTCGCGGGAACAGCCCGCAAACATGTTCGGGCAAACATAATTGCAATGAACCCAGATCGTGAAGACAGTCGTCAACAATGCAAGCCCAGATAAATGTCCAGCAGCTGATGATTACTAATAGTCAAAATCGTAACCGGACAGAATGAGATGAGGTAATCATACACAGACGAAGAGAGAGGAGGAAGATAAGACAAAGGAGAGGAAAGTACAATGCCCACTCCTGCTTCGGGCTCCCTCCTCTACTACCACCTCAATAATCAATAGTCTGAACGAGTATCCAAAGTAGCCTCAATGTGCCACATCAGCACTGGAGCAATGTCGACATGAAGACAGCCAGGTACGTATCCTCGAACGCTCCAAAGTCCGGATCTCCTCCTGAAGTGACGATGAAACAGAACAGCGATGCCGATCACATAGTCCCAGCATAGAACACCTGGCAGCAGCCACGTCAACCAATGATACACGTGGCAGCAGCCACATCAGCGACAGCGCAGGGCAGCTGCCACGTCAGCGTGCCAAGAAGACAGGAGCAAGCCGGCCACCATGCCGGACTAGCAGCGCCGCACCAAGTCACAATGCCAGTGTCGCAGCGTCGAGCCAGCGTCGCAGCCTCGAGCCAGCGTTGAAGTCAACGCGTGAAGTCAGCATCAATGCAAGACAGAATGAATGTCAAAGTCAGGAAGTCAGCGCTTATGTGGCGTTGACGCCGGGTCTGGACCCCGGTTGCTGCATTCCTCAATCGTCCAGATCTCAATGCAAACGAGGGCCCAGATTGGTCTGAAACCGAATTATCTCCGGCCTGGATGCTGTCTGGGTACCTGCGCACATCAAGTGAGTGTATCCAACCAAGGGCCTGGGTGCAGTACCTTTGACTCTACAGTTGACTTTGACCCTTGAATTTCCTGTGTGCAGTGTTCGGTCACACAGCCATTCACGACATACTCAGGCCTGGGCGTGTCTTGGTCACACAGCCCAGCGCAGACCATCTCAGGTCTGCGTGGCCTGGGGCTGAGTTCTGGGCCCCAGGCTACTTCTGAACAGGGTTATTACATTAAAAAAAATTCGTAAAAACAAAAAACGGTTTTTGATTTTTAACTCATGATTGGCTACGAATTTGAACACGCCTCCAAGGCAAAAGTTGCTTGTATTGTTATTTTACATAACATATATTTTTTTCAGATTTTTCAGAGAACTTTTTTTAAGAAAATATTTTTTATGTTAGCGTTCGGAGGGTTTTGGGCACTTGTTCGCGTTCGGGCGAACATGTTCGCGTTCGCGTTCGCCTCCGAACGTGAACACGGTGCTGCGTAGGTCTACAGGTCGTCAAATTTTCAGATTTTTTGGTCAATTCTTCTGAGCGAGAAAAATCGCCGAAGTTGGCGCTTGAAAATTGCAGGACTGCACCCACCTTCGCCTGCCAATTGCGCCCCCCCCCCCCCCCCCCCCCCCCCCCCCCCCCCCCCCCCCCCCCCCCCCCCCCCCCTGTAAAACCCGCTCCATATGGCTAGGAAAGCCGAATTTCCAATGACAGGGGGAGTGGCGGTTTAAGGAGAGCAGGGGAAGGAGGGGGAGGTACAGCCGTCGAACGAGGTGACAAGAGAGACCAAACCCAAAATCAACTTCACAAAACAAAACCAGGCCGCTTCCTGCAGCTGGTCCAGCAACAAAACATGCTGGACACAGAAGTGCTATTTCTGTTCGTCGTTCGTCTTCAGGGTCAGTGCCTGCAGATGGTTTCAGTTGTGGAGACGGGTGTCGGGCGTTGAGTTGAGTATCTTCCACTGCAACTGAAACGGTTTTCACCTCTTTGCAGTAACAGACGCAGATCCCAGGGCTCGATCCCTAGATCTCACCCTACCCATGTACAGTATCTGTGTAGTCCCCGAGAGTTGAACCTGTGACCTGTGTATTCGTAGACAGTTGGTAGGTCTGTCATAGGTCCCTAGGCAGTAGGTCTATAGAGTAGAAGTCTTTCCAGAAGTCTAGCTGTAGTCCTTCTAGAAGGTCGGCAAGTGGGCAAGTGGTCAAGTGGCGAGTCAAGTGGTGGACTAAACTGCAGTGCAATTGCAGTACGACTACGATAGGTTAGCAGTGAGTCCACAGCCAGTCAGCAGTAAGGTCCAGTCAGTCCCAGTCCGATCCAGCAAGTACCACAAGGGACTGTGAGCACCATGGGCCAATGGAAGAGGGCAGACCAACGAGTTTCAGAAGTATAAATCAAGAGGCAGCGCCCAGCCTTTCATTCATTCCTGCGTGAGCCATGCGGAAGCCCTGCCACAGCGACTTGTGCAAGGAGGTCTGCAGAGAGCCCGGAGCTGAAGTGGGCGAGAGAGGAGGAGTGTAGCATAACGATAGGGTAGAGGCAGCCATAGCTGCCATAGCTGCCATAGCTGTAGTTTAGTGTGAAGTGTGTGTGTGTATGTGTGAGTGTTCAGAGTGACGCGTGTCGGATATCCAGGGTGATCCGGTGTATGGGAACAGTGAGTTGTTTGGGCGCTGAGTTGCCATAGCCAGTTGAAAGTGGATGCTATATCTCTGAGTTTTGAGTGGGCGCATGTCGCCAGTTTGCTGCGCTACTGTTTACATGCATGAAAAGTGTGAATGAGAACGAGTCTGATTGCACAACTGTGCTGGGGTGGGCTAAATGCTACGACCGGTATGGCTTCAGTTTTGAGCACCGTGCCACAGTTACAGTGGTTAAAACATCCGGCTGTTATAGCTGAGACCACCGGTTCGAATCCATCTGGCCATGGATTTGGGTCCTGACAAACATACTATTATCAGTCGCAGAGACCTTCTGTCAGTTGAAGAAGGCTGTCAAATAAATGAGACGTTGTAGAAGTCCACAACGAGACGGACACGACTTATTCAACGCCGTTGAAGATACTCGTAGAAACTCCTCGTAAGAGATGTACTTTGATTTCATGCAGGTGCTGCATGGCTTTCGTCAGGTCGTGCCGTGAGATGTTGGGTTAATCGCTCGAGCAGAAAGCTCTGGCTCAGAGTGGTTCGAGACACTCGAAGTGACTCGCCAGAGTCGTAACTGTTCAATAGTACCCGGATACGACATGATTCTCTAAAACTGGGTATTTATACTGAACAGAGTCGTAACTGTTCGGAATTGTCCTTCCTCGCCTTATTTGGCAACTCGTCTGATTAGATCAAGACATTAAATCAAATCTGGGTATTTACTATTTATACTGAACAGGAGTCGATCCAGCCGTGGCTAGGGAGATAAAGCCGTGGCTAGGGAGATAACAAACTCGATAACGTAGTGGCTGAACGGAACGACATGATTCTCTAAAACTTGTCGACAAATCTCGGAAAATTTTTGGCAAACAAAAAAACTAACTCAAAAATTCAGAGTCAAAAGCACAAAAAAAAAAATCAAAGGCTCGAAAACACATGCAAGTCGAACGTTATTTTCTCAGTTGAAAACAAAATGGGGAACGGGTGTGTAACGTGTGGGAATCTACCAAACAGTTTGGGGAGAATCCCAAACAGTCGGGTGAGCGTGATAGTCAAAGCGTTTATACTTTACTTTGATCCGTTTTCATGCTTTTAGCTATTTTATTGATTTTGTTTCAAACAGGGAACCGCTGATTTACAAATCTTATTAACGACAGAATTTAGCGAAACTTGTCTATGACAAAAGGTGTCCTTCCTTTCATGGGTCTAACTTGGTATTGGGTACATACAGTTGTATTAAATGATCCTGGTCGTTTAATAGCTGTCCATATTATGCATACTGCTCTTATGTCAGGGTGGGCATGTTCAATGGCTTTATATGAATTTGCTATTTGGCCTCCAAAAGGTATATTGATGTGTTAGATCCTTGGGGAATCGCTGGATTGGGGATTGAGTGGTGTAATGTTAAGGGGTTCAGGGGGTTCCTGGGATTTGCGAAAAGCCACACCCTACGATGTTTATGACAAAGTAGAATTTCATGTACCCGAGGATCTGGTTCCTCGGCAGGCCTAAGGGGCCCTGATACAGATGTGCCCGCCCTAAGTGAAGGCGGGCCTAACAAATCACGAGAGGCCCCTTGCTGTCAATTTCGTATTTGGGGTCCAGGCAGTTGTATTGCGCCAGTCGGTTCAACCAGCAAAGACTTTCTTCGGCCTTCCAGGCCTTTTCTAGAATGCAGGCCCTGGGCAGGAATCGCAGCAACATACACAGACAGGTGGAGAGCCTAACGGAACGAGGCCCAGCAGCTGCAGCAGAGGCACAGCCTCCTGGGGCCTAGCCCAGCCAGGCTGCCTGGAGGATTATTCAGGCACTTGCCAGCTTGTGCGGCAGCGCTGCTGGAGCGTAGGCTCGCGTGCTGCTGTGCGCTAAGGGCAAGGTGCTGTGCCCGTGCGGTCGTGCGAGACGAAGGGCGCTGCTGTGGGCAGCGCCATAGCCCAGCCTCCATAGCTGGCTGAGGCTTGGACTACAGTAAGGCGCAGGGGTGGTCTTCGTGTGTACAGAGGGAAGACGTGGGTGAAAGTCAAGGGAGAGAGAGAGAGAAGGATGATGATGATGATGATGATGATGTGAGGGCACATACCCTGGTATTGATGATGGTCTGCATTGGTCGACATCTTCAAGTACTTCGTTGGCTGCTGACGTCAACAGTTGCATTGTCAATTAGTAGGCAGATAGTAGCTGTGTAGGGAGTAGGCTGGGCGCCGAGCGCCAAGTAGGGAGAAGGGCCTGGACACTTATGTTGGTGGTGGCGAGAGCAAGCTCTCATTGACATTTGGTTTTCAGTGTTATGATTCTCCATTGGTGTTACATTGGTGCAATGCTGCTTTCTGAACACTGTGATACTTTCTGGCTTTCAATGTGATTGTGCAATCTGGATATTGTCATCTCGCTATTGCTCATTTTCCTTGCATTTGTGAAAACAGCCCGTGAAGATGTCTGTAAGCTGAAGAAGTCTGCTGCGGTTTGTGAAAACGGCTGGCCATGACAGAAGTAAGAAGATATCCGAATATCACTACCTTCTTCCCCCGAATACAACGTACGGTCATTATAGCTGTATTTGAGGCATCTTTCAGTCTAGATACAGCTATAATGACCGTACAGTGTATTCGGGGGAAGAAGGTAGAAGTAAAAATACCAACTGACCTACTGCTCAGTTGGTACACCCACGGAGTGTCGAAATACAGACCCAAGCTCGAATCCACATGCAAACGGAAGAACTGAAGCAAGAACGTCTCCGAAAATCACGAGCAACAGAAAATCAGGTGTCATCTCCGAAAATCACGAGTAAACAGAATACCAACGGGCCTACTGCTCACTTGGTACGCCCATGAACTGTTGCAATATGAATCAGACCCAAGTTCGAATCGCGATGATGGAACCAGATGAACAGAATAAAACAGTTCTGAATTACATGTGGCAAAGCCAATTCGATGATCATATGATTCGTATCTCAAGGCTGTCGCCCTTCTGGAAACAAAATCATGAGTAACAAAAAAATTCAAAAAATCAAGTCTTAAAAGTTAAAACATTATCGCCGAGAGATTCGGCAGTCCGTCAAACAACGCAGATTGAATTCAATTTTAAAATAGTGTTCTTTGTGGGAAAAGAGAGAGAGAGAGAGAAAGAAAAGTTCAGATAACTAATAAATCATGACCATTGGGCTAAAAATAGATCAAGTCTAGAATCTGTTATGATCAGTTTAATGCCTGATTCGTGGTCCATAGCTAGGCTACCAGAGTGGCCCGGGTCACTTGCCCGGCCGGGCCAAAAGAAATTAAAATTTCAAAAAAAGAAAACTATTTTAAATTTTATTTTTTACTTTACATTTGGTAAAGAATTTCGATGTGACCCTGGGGGAAAAGTTGTTCAGTTTATTTTTCTTCATAACATAGTTTTTTTCGGATTTTTT